GTTGTGTGTGTGTGTGTGTTGTGTATGTATGTGTGTGTGTTGTTTATGGGGGGTGTCTCTCACTCATTCTCTCTCTCTCTCTCACACACACACACACACACACACACACACACACACACACACACACACACACACACACCACACCCACACACACACACACACGCACACACACACACACACGACAAAATAATAATAATAATAAATAATAAATAAAATCCTTTTCACATACACATTTGAACACCACATCTGTTGCCCTTTTACATATGCGGTTCATGCTGTATGTGAGGTTTATGTGCTTTTAGTTTACGAGGTTCGGCGGCGCATATGTTTCTCAGTGCCAGTACTACATGTATGTTTAACTGCGTGGCATGTCTGATCCACCATGTAACTGATTAATAGGAGTACCTGCACATGAGTTTTGCACTGAGTCTGCCAATAGAAATACATTCCTGTACATTCACGAGATGTGAAAACACAGGCAGTTCCAAACCACACGGCAAGTTAAAATGAAGCCTTGCCGATGACTCAGACCCACGCGATGATCATGTGAACAACTGAATCGCACAAAGGTTCCCTCTCCAGACCTCGTGTGATGCCACGTCAGTTCGCCGTTTGCATTCGCCTAGCACAGACGTCGTCTCTCTCGCCTCCGCCTCGGCCCCGGGGAAGGCTTTATTCCCTCACCTTATTCGGTACAGAATGTCAAATCATCCGATAATTCTGTGTCTTCTCTTCTAACCAACAACTTACCAATCCGGTCTTCGGCTCAGACCAGGCATTGGAACAGACCGTGCTAATGTCTCTAAAGCAATGTAAGTACACACTAGGGCCTTCTTCCTTTCTATTCTTTCCGTCCTCTTCAAGTGCATCAAGCCATGTTACACTTATATATGGAAGTCACTCCTCGTTCGTTTTTCAGGGAAAAAGTGATAACTGAGGTACACGTCTCTCTATTTTCTGTGATTGCTTCCTTAATCTTCTGTGCGCGGTGTTATTTCTTGTGGGCGAAAAAGACATTTCCAGCGTATTGTCATTTTTTTTATGATTATATTTCCCCTCTTAAAGCTTCCTTATTGGGACAATCGGTTACAGTTCAATTTATCTTTATCTTTGGCATTTTAACATTTCTGTTCATCTGTCTGATGCAAAAGTATTGCAGCTATTAAGAATCATTCACCTAAGTATACCACATAAGATTTCATTCTTTACTGAACTTCATTATGTACTCCCTTTTTGATTTTCTAATAACACAAAAGACTGACAATTCCATTTCCGCAGACATCAGTCGATGACAATACCTTCCACCCCATCCCTTTTCCTCTTTAATTTTCACTGATTTGTTTCTTTTATTCATTTAGCATTTAATTTCCTTTCATTCATAGACATTTGTATTGTTTCAACTACAATGATTTTTTGTGCTTTCATACTTTAAAAAATCTTATAAATCTTTTGGTCAATTTCACGAAATTGAGTTTCGTTTAATTGACTATTAGAAATACATTTATTCTATCCTCTCAGTTAATTTGATTCTCTAACTAGGTTTGGTCTTCTATTAGCACAAACTTCATTTGTTTTTAATATGTCTCCCTTTCCTAATCTTATTATGCTCCTTACGTATGGGCTGAAAGCAATAGTGATTGAGGTTGCTGATATTAGAAATTTGTTTTTATTCAACATTATTTGCACTTAACTCTAGGAGATTGACTGTCTAATGATAGAGAATAGGGAAACGTAATATAACGGAGTAGATATCTTGTATTTTCAAGAAATGCTCAACATATTCTTTCTTTATTATAATTTCTCCCAATAAGGGAATTAGCCCAATCTTATGAATTTCCTTTGGTAATTTTCACGATTTTTTTTCTTTTTTTTTTTTTTTTTTTTTTTTTTTAATCTGACTGTTAAAAATTCATTAACCCATATGAGCTGGGTATCTACCACGGGAGCGGCCGGACCGGGCATATCAGCCTTGGCCTAACGCTCGGTGCCGGGATGCTGCTCCGGCGCGGAGGGGCTCAGCTCACGCAGAGCGGCTGTCTTCAGGCCAATTTGTCCATGCATTTTACAATAATTTGAGAAATTATTTCTGTTATTGTTATTGTTGCAAAGGACAACTTTGGAGATGTAAAGACGCAGAGTGGCTTTGTTGTTTATGTTCATCTTGTAATTCAGAGTCCATACTCTTGAAAATCATGTTTCTCTGAAAGATATGAACATCAATTATGGCTTTATGGCTTGTCAAAAATCATGTTTTCAGACTATGGAATATGGACATGAAAACTATAATTTGTTTGTTTTTATTCAACTACTGTTAGAAGGAGCAGACGTAGCCTGTTGCTACTAAAGGTAGCGTGAAAGATCTGCTGCTGGAGGTGGCGTGAGGGTCCTCTCTGCTGCTGACGGCGTGAGGGTTCTCCTGCTGTTGAGGCGGCGTGAGAGGTCCTCCTGCTGCTGGAGGCGGCGTGAGGTCCTCCTGCTGCTGGAGGCGGCGTGAGGGGTTCCTCTGCTGGCTGAGCGGCGTGAGGGGCTCCTGCTGCTGGAGACGGCGTGAGGGGTCCTCCTGCTGCTGGAGGCGGCGTGAGAGATCCTCCTGCTGCTAGAGGCGGTGTGAGAGATCCTCCTTCTGCTGGAGGCAGCGTGAGGGGTCCTCCTGCTGCTGGAGGCAGCGTGAGAGATGCTCTCTTGCTGCTGGAGACGGCGTGAGAGATGCTCCTGCTGCTGGAGGCGGCGTGAGAGGTCCTGCTGCTGGAGACGGCGTGAGGGGTCCTCCTGCTGCTGGAGACGGCGTGAGGGGTCCTCCTGCTGCTGGAGACGGCGTGAGGGGTCCTCCTGCTGCTGGAGACGGCGTGAGGGGTCCTCCTGCTGCTGGAGACGGCGTGAGGGGTCCTCCTGCTGCTGGAGACGGCGTGAGGGTCCTCCTGCTGCTGGAGACGGCGTGAGGGGTCCTCCTGCTGCTGGAGACGGCGTGAGGGGTCCTCTCTGCTGCTGGAGACGGCGTGAGGGGTCCTCCTGCTGCTGGAGACGGCGTGAGGGGTCCTCTGCTGGGACTGGAGGCGTGTGAGGGGTCCTGCTGCTGGAGACGGCGTGAGGGGTCCTCCTGCTGCTGGAGACGGCGTGAGGGGTCCTCCTGCTGCTGGAGACGGCGTGAGGGGTCCTCCTGCTGCTGGAGACGGCGTGAGGGGTCCTCCTGTTGCTGGAGACGGCGTGAGGGGTCTCCTGCTGCTGGAGACGGCGTGAGGGGTCCTCCTGCTGCTGGAGATGGCGTGAGGGGTCCTCCTGCTGCTGGAGACGGCGTGAGGGGTCCTCCTGCTGCTGGAGACGGCGTGAGGGGTCCTCCTGCTGCTGGAGACGGCGTGAGGGGTCCTCCTGCTGCTGGAGACGGGCGTGAGGGGTCCTCCTGCTGCTGGAGACGGCGTGAGGGTCCTCCTGCTGCTGGAGACGGCGTGAGGGGTCCTCCTGCTGCTGGAGCGGCGTGAAAGATCCTTCTACTGCTGGAGACGGCGTGAGGGGTCCTCCTGCTATTGGAAGCGGTGTGAGAGATCCTTTTCTGCTGGAGGCGGTGTGAGAGATCCTCCTGCTGCTGGAGACGGCGTGAGAGATCCTCCTGCTGCTGGAGACGGCGTGAGGGGTCCTCCTGCTGCTGGAGGCGGTGTGAGGGGTCCTCCTGCTGCTGGAAGCGGTGAGGGGTCCTCCTGCTGCTGGAGGCGGTGTGAGGGTCCTCCCTGCTGGAGGCGGTGTGAGGGGTCCTCCTGCTGCTGGAGGCGGTGTGAGGGGTCCGCCTGCTGGGAGGCAGCGTGAGAGGTCCTCCTGCTGCTGGAGTAGCGTGAGAGGTCTCCTGCTGCTGGAGCAGCGTGAGAGGTCCTCCTGCTGCTGGAGGCAGCGTGAGAGGTCCTCCTGCTGCTGGAGGCAGCGTGAGAGATCCTCCTGTTGCTGGAGGCAGCGTGAGGGGTCCTCTGCTGGGAGGTAGCGTGGAGGGTCCTGCTGCTGGAGGCGGTGTGAGAGATCCTGCTGCTGGATGCGCGTGAGAGATCCTCCTCTGCTGGAGGCGGCGTGGAGGGTTCCCTGCTGCTGGAGTGCGGCGTGAGATATCTTCCTGATGCTGGAGGTGGTGATGAGGGGTTCTCCTGCTGCTGGAGATGGAGATGATTATCTTCCTTGTGCCCACTGGATGTGGCGTCATGGATTTTCCTGCACTGGGTGTGCTGTTTCGAAGTGATAGCCTGCTGCTATCGGAAGGTGGGTGAATGCCGCATGTTGGTCGCATCCTCGCTGGAGGTGCTATGCCATAGATGCAAACAATCTGCCGGTCACAGTGAAACGTCACACCTGTAGCGCGTCTCCTTCCTACGTTGCTGGCTCACTCGCAGTGACGACACCGGCGGGACTTGCGCCCTGGATTGNGCTGGAGCAGCGTGAGGGGTCCTCCTGCTGCTGGAGCAGCGTGAGGGTCCTCCTGCTGCTGGAGGCAGCGTGAGAGGTCCTCTACTGGAGGCGGCGTGAGAGATCCTCCTGCGCTGGAGAGGCGGCGTGAGAGATCCTTCCTGCTGCTGGAGCAGCGTGAGGGTCCTCTGCTGCTGGAGCAGCGTGAGAGATCTCTGCTGCTGGAGCAGCGTGAGGTCCTCCTGTTGCTGGAGGCGGTGTGAGGGGTCCTCCTGCTGCTGGAGGTAGCGTGAGGGTCCTCCTGCTGCTGGAGGCGGTGTGAGGAGGTCCTGCTGCTGGAGGCGTGAGTGAGAGATCCTCCTGCTGCTGGAGGCGGCGTGAGGGTCTCCTGCTGCTGGAGGCAGCGTGAGAGGTCCCCCTCCTGCTGGGAGCAGCGTGAGAGGTCCTCCTGCTGCTGGAGGCAGCGTGAGGGTCCTCCTGCTGCTGGAGGCAGCGTGAGAGTCCTGCTGCTGGAGGCAGCGTGAGAGTCCTCTGTGCTGGAGGCAGGTGAGGGTTTCCTCCTGCTGCTGGAGGTGGTGTGAGGGGTTTCCTGCTGCTGGAGGCAGCTGTGAGAGATCCTCTGCTGCTGGAGGCGGCGTGAGAGATCTTCCTGCTGCTGGAGGGGTGTGAGGGGTTCTCCTGATGCTGGAGGCAGCGTGAGAGATCCTCTGCTGCTGGAGACGGAGTCATGAATCTTCCTTGTGCCACTGGATGTGGCGTCATGGATTTTCCTGCCACTGGGTGTGCTGTTTCGAAAGTGATAGCCTGCTGCTATCGGAGAGGTGGGTGATGCCGCATGTTGGTCGCATCCTCGCTGGAGGGTGCTATGCCATAGATTGAAACAATCTGCCGGTCACAGTGAAACGTCACACCTGTAGCGCGTCTCCTTCCTCACGTTGCGGCTCACTCGGCAGTGACGACACCGGCGGGACTTGCGCCCTGGATTGAAAACCAGGACGTGGCCCTGTGGTACCTGTTGGCGCTGCTGCTGCTGACGTTGGGAGTTCCGGCGGCGGAGAGGCGATGGGGCGGCAGCCGGAGGCTGATAGATAATAACTGTCACAGGCTGGGCCATGCATAAGTAAAGCCCCAGGCAAAGCTAAACTTTGCAAATCATAATGAACTTGTCTGACAGGGCCCACCTTCTCCGAGCCTCCCATTAGCCCCGGGGGGCTAAGGGGCAAGAATTAGTACAAGGCCAGGGCGTGTCCACACGCCGGTGGGCCATGACCCTGTACCTCTGGAGCCTCCTGCTGCTTCAAGATCCCCTTTAGCCTAAGACCGCAAGGTACCAGTTACCATAGGTGGCCACTAGGAGGCACTGCAGAAGTCTTGATGATGGAGAGGCTGTGAACTGGAAGGGGAGGCTTATGCAGAGCTGCTCCCTTCTTCGCACTAGGGTAGCCAGCAGTGGCAGCTGCAAGCGAGAACGAATGCAAGCACTATCTAGGCTACCACACCATCGCTTCACACCACCCTGCACATGAAGCACCCACTGTATAATGGGCCACTCATTTAGAATTTACGCTTTCTCACTATTAGATATTGTTATGAGTATGACTCATAAGAACGACGCATTGGACTGTATAATGGACCATCATCATCATCAGGAGCTAACGCCGACGGGGCCGCAGAGCCGCGTCCACCTTTTGGGATCCATCATGGCAAGTCACCAGGCAGGGACTCAGCCCATCTCGAGCTCTTCCCGACAGGTTTGATCGATCTGCCCAAGCCACGACCTCCTAGGTCGTCCCACAGGCCTCCACCCAGGGTTGTCTCTTACAGAGACAACCTGATGGCGCAAGATCAGCCTGTGGAAAGCGAGCCAGGTGGCCATATAGCCTGAGTTGGCGATCCCAGATTGTGCAGGTAACAGGTCCTGTGCCAGTCTCACGGTGCAGCCGTTGGTTAGACACATGGTCCCGCCAACAGTACCCCATGATCCGGCGCAAGGACCTATTACAAAAGGCATCAAGACGAGACTCCAGGGCACTGGATAATGTCCAGGTTTCACTACCGTAGAGCAAAACTGGCATTACCAGGGCCCTGAAAACCCGTAGCTTGGTCCTTCTGCACAGGTACCGGCATCTCCAAATACTCTTGTCGAGAGAGTTCATGACCCCTGCTGCCAGGCCAATCCGTCTGCTGACTTCCTGGTCTGACAGCCCAGAGTTATGAACTGCACTACCAAGGTATGTAAAGCTCTTCAATGTCCTCGCCGCAAGCACGTACCGACTGAACAGGTTCTCCTAGCAAGTCCCCAAAGTCCTGGATCTTGGTCTTGGTCCAGGAGACCTCTAGACCCAAGGGCTTCGCTTCATTACTAAATGCATCGAGAGCCACCACTAGGGTTTCCAAAGACTCAGATAGAATGCAACATCATCGGCAAAGTCAAGGTCTGTAACCTTAATATTACCCAGTGTTGCTCCACAATGACTTTGAACAGTAGCTCTGCCTAGTATCCAGTCCATGCAAGTGTTGAAAAGTGTTGGTGCAAGAACACAGCCTTGCCTCACTCCTGAACTGACAGGAAAGAAGCTCGACAGGCCCCCACCACACTTTACAGCACTTTCAGTACCAGTATATAGGTTTGCTATTAGTTCAATAATCCTTGTTGGAATTCCTCTCAGTCTCAGGATCTCCCAGAGTGATTCCCGATGCACTGTATCGAACGCCTTCTTGAGGTCGATGTAGGCTGCAAGCAGCCCACGTCCGAACTCACGACGGCGCTCTACAATGACTCGAAGCGCAAGGATACGGTCTATTGTGGACTTACCAGGAGTGAATCCGGATTGCTCTGGCCTCTGATGCCTTAGATGGTCTCTGATACGCCTCAGAAGGATGCGGGCAAGAACCTTGCCTGGTACACTGAGCAGTGTGATGCCGCGGTGATTGCTGCAGTCCCATCGGTCCCCCTTCCCCTTCCAGAGAGGGATGACCACACCCCTCAACAGGTCAGGGGAACGGTACCGGACTGCCAATGGCAGCCAGGACAGCATGCAATCCCCGCCATAGGTTCACCACCAGCCTTTAACAGTTCAGCTGGGATGCCGCAAATACCCGCTGCTTTACCACTCTTCAGCTTGGAGATCGCCTCCCTAACTTCAGTTAGGGAATGGGTGGGTCCGGCAGCGGAATCACGGCACTACCCACATCCAAGTTAACTGTTGGAGGGTCAACCTGATACAACTGCTCAAAGTACTCAGCCCAACGCTCCCGCACCGCAACAGGATCTGAGACGATCTGGCCACTTACTAAGCGAACTGCAGTCACCTGTGAAGAGGGCTTGGAGTTCAGTTTCTCAGGGCTTGGTATGCAGGACGAAGGTCATTTACTAAGAAATGGCCTTCACCTCCTCAGCAAGATTCCTAATAAACTGTTCCTTGTCCCTTCTTAACAGAGACCGAGTTCTGCGCACCTGAGAACGGTGCAAATCCCGATCCCCTGCCAGACGAGCCACGGCAAGCATCAGTGGCTTCCAGTGTCTCCTGAGAGATTAATTCTGTCTTGCTCTCGGGCGTTCTCCTATTGATTCTTGGCTGCATCAAGCGTTTCCCGCTTTGTGTCCCACAGAAGTACAGGGTCTGTCAGATTGTCAAGCGCTGTGAACCGATCAGAGATTGTCTCAGCAAACCTCCGAGCACACTCCCTCTCCTTCAGCCTGTCCAGATGAAACACCCTAGGGTGGTCATTGGGCCGCTGGGAGTTTTGAAGTGTACCCGGAGGGTAGCCACAACCAATCTATGGTCAGTACCACAGAACTCAGCACTCCTATACACCCTGCAGTTCTGGAGGATCCTCCAACGAGTGCTAACGAGAATGTGGTCGATCTCCTTGGCTGCATTACCCGCATCGCTGTACCATGTCCAACGATGTGGGTCTGGGCGCTGGTACCAGGAGCCAGAAATCCTCAATTTCTGGGATCTAGCAAAATCCCGGAAAAGGAGGGAATTCTCGCTGCCGGTATCAACTCCCGAACCATGAGGACCGACTGACATCTCATAGCCAGCTCGATCGCAGCCAGATACCGCATTGAAGTCACCCAGAACAATACGAATATCTCGCCGGGACAACTGTCTGCCACAGATGCAAGTTTGGCGTAGAACATCTCTTTCACGTCAAGTTTACAAACATCGGTAGGAGCGTACACAGCAATAAGAGACATGAAGCCAAAGACAGCTTCAGTCTCATTACCATTATACGCTCATCGACTGGAGTGACCTCTACCACCGAGGGCTGGAGCCTACCGAGACAGCTATGGCTACTCCCTGGAGATGGTGACCATCGCTGCGGCCTGACCAGTAATAGGTGTAGCCACCTACACTGGTCGTGCCGCTGCCAGGTCTTCTCACCTTCCGAGAGAGCAGCCACCCCACTCTCAGCTCCCAGTCCCCTCGATAGCAGGGGCAATCGATCATCCTGACGCAAAGAGCGGACGTTCCACACCCCCACCCTGACTTCCTGCCTGAGGTTAACCCTCGGGCAGTCGCTCTGGGTGGACGCCACCTCTGCCACCTCCGCCGACGCTGCCCCACATAAAAGGCGGCAGGCTGCGGGTCCCTTCATCCACCTGTGGGGTTCCTTAGGGCTTTGCCCCACAAGCTCCATATCGGGCTGGCGGCTGCCAGAACGCAGGCGGGACGAGGAGCTCCTGTTCCCATCTTGCGCTCCAGCAGCCACCCTCCAACGGGGCCTGCAGCCCGCAGCCCGCCTCTCTTGCTGGGTAGGAGGGACATTTCCCCTTCCCCCAGCATTACCAATTAAAGAAAGCACTGCCAGTGGGTTATTCTCTGAGGGAGGGGAGGTTTGGCAAGGCCCATCTCCCCCGAGCCTCCCATTGACCCCAGGCGTTAGTACAGGGCCAGGGCGTGTCCACGCGCCGGTGGGCCATGACCCTATACCTCTGGGGCCTCCTGCTGCTCCGAGATCCCCTACAGTTCAGCCTGGGACCGCAAGGTGCCAGTTTCCATAGGTGGCCACGAGGAGGCACTGCAGAAGTCTCGATAATAAAGAGGCTATGCACTGGCAGGGGAGACTTATGCAGTGCTGCTCCCTTTTTCGCACAAGTCTAGCCTGCGGTGGCAGCTGCAAGCGAGAAGGCATGCAAGCACTTAACACTATCTAGGCTACCACACCATTGCTTCACAGCACTCTGCGCATGCAGCACCCACCCATGGACCACTCATTTAGAATTTACGCTTCTTCGCTATTAGATATTCATATGAGTATGATTCATATGAATTGAAATGTATAGTGTACCACTCATTTAGAATTTCCACTTTCTCACTATTAGATATTCAGGGGTTGGTACACAGGACGAAGGACACTTGCCAAGAAATGGCCTTCCACCTCTTCAGCAGTGACCAAGATCTGCGCACTTGAGAGCGGTGCATATCCCAATCCTCTATCAGATGAGCCAGGCAACAAGCATCTGTTAATTCCAGTGTCTCCTGGGAGATGAAATTCTGTCTTGCTCTCGGGTACTCACCAATCTATTCCTGAAATGCATCAAGCGTTTCACACTTGAAGATATTGCTAATGGGTTATCTTTGAGGGAAGAAAGACTGGCAGTGCCCACCTCCCCCGTGCCTCCCATTAACCCCAGGGGGTTAAGGGGCAAGAGTTAGTACAAGGCCAGGGCGTGTCCACACGCCAGTGGGCCATGACCCTGTACCTCTGGAGCCTCCTGCTGCTTCAAAATCTACTGTTTAGCCTGGGACCGCTAGGTACCAGTTACCATAGGTGGCCACTAGGTGGCACTGTAGAAGTCTTCATGATGGAGAGGCTGTGAACTGGTAGGGGAGGCTTATGCAGAGCTCCCTACTTTGCACTAGGCTAGCCATTGGTGGTAGCTGCAAGCGAGAAGGAAGGTAAGCACTATTCTGGCTACCACACAATTACTTCACACCACCCTGCACATGAAGCACCCACTGTATAATGGACTACTCATTTAGAATTTACGCTTTCATGTTATTAGATACTGTTATGAGTATGACTCATAAGAACGACGGATTGGACTGTATAATGGATCATTCATATAGAATTTATGCTGTCTCACTATTAGATATTCATATGAGTACGACTCATAAGAACGACGAATTGAAATGTATAATGGACCACTCATTTAGAATTTACACTTTCTCGCTATTAGATTCTCAGGGTTGGTATGTAGAATAAAGGACACTTACCAAGAAATGGCCGTCCACCTCCTCAGCAGTGACCAAACTCTGCGCACCTGAGAGCGGTGCATATCCCGATCCCCTGTCTGAAGAGCCGTGCAACAAGCATTTGTGGCTTCCAGTGTCTACTGGGAGGTAGACACAGGATACTCACCAAGCTATTCTTGGGATGCATCAAGCGTTTCACACTTGAAGACATTGCGAATGGGTTATCTCTGAGGGGAAGAGGACTGACAGGGCCCATCTCTGCTGAACCTCCCATTAGCTCCAGGGGGCTTAGGGGCAAGAGTTAGTTCAAAGCCAGGGCGTGTCCACACGCTTGTGGGCCATGACCCTGTACCTCTGGAGCCTCCTGCTGCTTCAAGAACCCCTACTGTTTAGCCTGGGACCGCAAGGTACCAGTTACCATAGGTGGCCACTAGGAGGCACTGCAGAAATCTTGATGATGGAGAGGCTGTGAACTGGTAGAGGAGGCTTATGCAGAGCTGCTCCCTACTTCGCACTAGGCTAGCCAGTGGTGTCAGCTGCAAGCGAGAAGGAATGCAAGCACTATTTAGGCTACCACACATCGCTTCACACCACCCTGCACATGAAGCACCCACTGTATAAAGGACCACCCATTTAGAATTTACGCTTTCTCGCTATAGATATCCAATTGAGTAAGACTCATAAGAATGACGAATTGGACTGTTTAATGGACCACTCATTTAGAATTTACGATTACTCGCCATTAGATATTCATATGAGTACAACTCATAAGAACGACAAATTGGACTGTATAAGGGACCAGTCATTTAGAATTTACTTTTTCTCACTATTAGATATTCATATAAGTACGACGAATTGGAATGTGTAATGGACCAGTCATTTAGAATTTACGCTTTCTCGCTATTAGATTCTCGGGTTGGTACACAGAACAGGCACTTATCCAGAAATGGCCCTCCACCTCCCCAGCAGTGACCAAACTCTGCGCAACTGAGAGCGGTGCATATCCCGATCCCGTCTGATGAGCCGCGCAACAAGCATCTGTGGCTTCCAGTGTCTCCTCGGTGATCAATTTCTGTCTTGCTCTCCGGTACTCACCAATCTCATCTCTGAGGGGAGGAGGACTGGCAGGGCCCACCTCCCCCGTGCCTCCCATTAACCCTAGGGGGATTAGCGGTAAGAGTTAGCACAAAGCCAGGGCTTGTTCACACGCCGGTGGGCCATGACCCTCTACCTCTGGAGGCTCCTGCTGTTTCAAAATCTCCAACTGTTTAGCCTGGGACCTAAAGGTACCAGTTTCCATAGGTGGCCACTAGGAGGCACTACAGAAGTCTTCATGATGGAAAGGCTGTGAAATATCATATATGATATTTATATATGTGATAAATTCGATGAATTCATTATTTCGAAATCTGCAGAGATATCACGTCACTTTCATTCATTAACTTCTCAAATGGTATAACATTTCTGTTAATCATCAAATATTCACATTTCATGTTTGTCCTTTCATTCCAAACAGAATCACCTATCTACAATCTCACTATTTTAGCCGAGCAAGCAAAGAGATACTGCGACTTTCTATGCTTGTTTTATTGCAGTCCCCTGTAGCATTTTCATGTTTTATAATATACTTAACGCAATTATAGGAGTAGAGATTGATGATGCAATCACTAGACAGAGAGGCGTCTAGGTTGCCAACAAAACAAAACAAACTTTCTTCCTGACTTTTTTTTTGTATCAATTGCAATACTTCCTCAGTCTTTCATATATGTTCTGAGGTGGTTAGGAGTGCAAGTAAATGCATGCAGCTTACAGTTGTTATTCCCGATATCTATTCACTCCTTGTCTAGTACATACAAACAACTGAATAGAAGATAAAAATAAGGTCATTAAGGAAAAAATGGCTTGTGTTTGCAC